GGGGGGGTGTTGGTCTTGACCAACTGCACCATCACTACCACCACCATCACCATAATTATCATCAGTATCATTCCCACCATCACCACTATCATCACCACTATGAACATTACTATCATCACAACCATCATTACCACCATAATCCTCATCATCTTTATCTTCAGCCCTATCATCATCATCACCACCATCATTACTACCACCACCATAATCATCGTCATCTTTGGCCCCATCATTATCATCATCCCCATCATCATCCCCATCATCATCACCATCATCATCCCCATCATCATCATCATCATCATTATCATCATCCCCATCATCACCATCATCTTTAGCCCTATCACCATCATCAGCACCACCACAAGCATTCTTTATCCTGCACTCCAGACATAAAAACCTATGTCGTTTTGCAGCAATCATCGTCCAGTGCCTTGCCGACTGGCGTGGGCTATCATGGACCTCCGCTTCACTCTGTCTTTCGTTGCAGCAATGGTGTCTATTGTTCTTGCTGCTCCTAGCCATGTTGTCATCTTGTCCAGTATCTTTTCCCTCTGTCTGCCTATGCCTCTCTTTCCATCAAACTTGCCTGTTGTTACAATATTCTCCAATGCTCCTTTCAGCAATATCTCCACAACAATAGAGGTCACTGTGTCATAGTTCCTGTGCTTTGCGTCTCAGCGTCATAAAACAACTATAGTGCGGTCAAAAATTCGAGGTGCAACTTATCCTCAAATCTCTTTAACGGGCGAATCAGTGTCATCCATACTTTGCATAGCAATTTGTATCAGTTTGTCTTAACCAAATCATAGTTTTCTAGAACAATTGGGGCTAGATTAAAAAACTTTTCTTCATAAATTCATATTATAAGATACTTGAAATCTCTGTCACGCGTAAAATGGTTTTGTTCACCGAACTTCCCGCTTCTCACACACATTTTGATTACGCATATGGCCTACGTCACAGCTCATCAAAGACAATTTTTACTTTCAAAATTTGTTACAAGAAATTATTGTTATACTGAACACATTTTTGCACTCAAAAACATGCGCTCAATAAGCATAATGTCCCTATAAGAAAAACCTGGCGGACTTAAAAGCAATATTGTCCCAACTGTAAACATGTACAAATCTGCCGAAACTACCCACTTGGATTTTATTATTAGTATGTATTAAGGAATTTTCTAGAATACAGCTTGAAGGTGTTTACAAAAATGTTGATCTGTTAAGACAAATTGATACAAGTCACTGTGCAAAAATTGGAGAACCTATATTCGATAGTTGAGGAGATATTTAAAAGTAAGTCGCACCACGAATTTGTGACCGCACTAGACAATAAATTACATAGTAGGTAAGAAATTGGCTAAAGAAATGGGGGG